ATCTTGGTATATCAAGATAACCATCTTGTTATAATGTGTTATGGTTTCTTGTGGTTTGTCACTTTCACGGACGTTTATTACCTGGATGGCGTGATGGAGAACACAACTGAGTCTCACTATATGCTGTTTTACGAAGAAGAAATCTGCAAGAGTTAGTACTAAATAATGTTTATGAAATAATAGCGTCTGAATTCAGATTAGAGTGAATATTATTAAGTACTACTAGCTGCAACATCTGAGTACAAACCCAAAAAATTCTGTTTGTTTTTGTTTATATAGTGGTTCAGTCATGTTCTCCATCACACCATCCAGGCAATAAACTTCCATGTGAGTGACAAACCAGAAGAAATCATAACACGTTATGACAAGATGTTTATCTTGATATAACAAGATAGTTTTCTCGTTATAAGGAGATCCAGTTTCAAAATAATTTCATTCATGTGACAGCTCTACGCTTCCGTACAGCAGCATGAAAATTATTTTATAAAATGTTGACAGTGTTATCTTTCCAAAAATGCATTTGSATTATTACAAAAATGTTGATGTCACAGGCACTTTAAGAGTAATTAAAAGGTATTTATAAGGGACTTATGAGGTGGTACTTACAGGTTAATTACCAGATCTTTACAGTGTGTGTATTTGGGTACTACGAAGGTAACCATGAAGTTTTATTAAGTGACTTGTTGSTCAGCGCTGTGCCTCAGTTTGGTTTTATATCTATCAGCGTCCCCAGTAGAAACCTTATTTGAAGTTTAACCCTTTATGTGACTGAACCAATAATTAAACTTTTTTTTATTTACACAAATATCCACAGAATGTTCAAACTTACCGTGACAAACCTTTGAGTTGTCACCGTATCCTAAATCTTTGGAAACAAACACTTCCAGGTTTCACCGTCTTTCCGAACAAAACAAACAAACAAACAAACAATTTGTTTTTTGTTTCCCTTGACGTTTCTCTCACTGGTTTAAGACAAACTTTTCTTTCAAACTCCCACCACAAAGTGCACAATTCACACATCCAAGCTCACAATTACCTCATTTTTTTATCATTCACAACTAGAAGGAAACATGTCTTTTGTGTCGTGTAATAGCTCCAACATAGAAATGTGTGTTATGACCATTTTTCTCAGTGGTTTGCTGAGGATTTTACTTTGTGTTTCTTCTCTGAAAAAGTGTATTTCACTTTAATAACATCACATTTTRACTACTGGAAGCCCATCACTCATAAATCCAGTAACTGGGTTTAGGTGAAGGTGACTTTACAACAACAAACCACTAGAGGGGGCTGCTTTCCCAGTGTTCTTATATAATTCACATGAATGAYTAGATCTGTTAGTCAGTATGTTTTTAATTACTTTGTTTTTATGYTGCAMTTATMCATTTRGTGMCAGTYTAAATGAAAAARGCTACTTTTTAAGAATAGATTTATTTTGAAAGGGCACGGCTCTGACATGTCTGTTTATATGCCCCCTACAGCTCAAACGCTCCCRCCCAGTTTGTGCAGATGGGCAACGTGGTGTCGATGGGCAGCCTGGCTCCAGCTCAGCCCCCGAGCGGCGTGGCCTTCGCCCCTCACCCCTCCATGATGAGCACCGCACCGCCGCCGCCACCGGGCCCCACGCCGCACACGCACGAGGACGATGACGATGAAGACTACGACTCTTAGCTCACACGCACGCACACGCACACACACACACAAACACACACACATGCGTTCAGATTCTTCGTATTGATCTTCTGGCGGCTGCTCCAACCAGCGAAGGGAAAGACTCTTCATTTGCAGCCCGGTGACAGAAAAGCTGTAAGAGACGAAAACAAAACAAAACTTGTTGTAAATTAGATGTTTTAATTTTTTTTTTTAAGAATTTTATTTTATTGTAGAGAATTGTCCATCGCGGATGTTTTTTAACAAGTCACTTGTTAGTTAAAAAGAAAAAAAAAAAGAAAAAAAAGGGCAGTTGTCACTGTTTTTTTGTTTTCTTTTGTTGTTGTGAGCCCCTGCAGACAGGATAAGTGTAGTTTTTGTTGCAGTTTTTGTTTTTTTTTTCTCTCCGCACTTAGCTTTTTTTTTCTCAGTTCTCTATATAATTAATTTGTCAGATTGACGGGGAAATAAATGGACGAGAGGCAGTTAAAGCCTTGTTGCAGCGTTATAATACCAAACAAGCTGAGATGAGCTCAGGGGGGGTTTTGTGGAAGCAGGGCTGAAGGGGAACCCCATCATCAAATTGTTGCATCATCAGGTTAGCCTTTAGCTCATCAGTTGGAGATCAACAAGCCATATTTTCTGTTTCTAATTTTAATTTACATTTATTTCTTCATCGAGGGGAACTCCTCAGCAACAGCCCTGATTTCAAACCATGTCAGATTTCATTTGGTTCATTATTTTGACGCTAACAGCTGGAGCTTCACTATTAAATCATAGGACCATAAATTCCCCTTGAACTGCTCACAGCGACTCGTTGGACCGTGTTTTATTTTTGTCTCATCTCATTTTCAAATCTGGCCACACACACCCTTTTTTTTTCCTCTTCTGTTTTCCCTCTTTTTTATGTTGTTTTAAATGACAGCAGACACGGGGCTCCTGTTTGCGTCAGTCTCATGAAATGGTTGCGAACAGACAGTTCACACTGTATTGTAAACTTTTAATGTTCTTTTTATTTTGTATGGGTGAAATAAAGTTCTTATTTCAATAATTTTGTTTTGATTTTCTGAGATGAAAACTTGAACGACTCTTTGATCTTTTGTTTTTATTTTTTAAATTTTTTTGTCTGCTGAATCTTTGAGGTTTCACAACCGTGGGCCACATGATTTGTGATCCAGACTCCTCCTTGAAGTTCATCCTTTCTGGGTTTTGCAACATTAGAGAGAGAGAAAAGTTTTCCATGGATGTTTCGTCTGACTCACGGACAGCCTCTTGTGCGAGGCGGTCCAGGTTCGCCACACAATAAGGACTTGTTGAGTTGGACCCAACCTCTTCCCTCTTCCTTCTCTGTTTACTTTAAAGCGTCTTAACACCGCCCGGCCGACCGAGCAGCTTAGATCTGTGGCCACAAAAACAACCGCATCCTTCCTGCGCAAGCGTTGACTCAGCGGACTGTCGAGGAGGGCGGGGCTTCGGATGGTGTGTGAACTCAGGAGGAGGAGGCTGGGATCAGGGTGGAGGTGGTTGACTTTAGCATTGGTGTTCAAACAAACTGGAGCGGCAGGGGGAGGGATTGGGGAGGGGGGACCATCAGAAGGAAGCACACAGCAGCCAACGGGGCCAAAGGTGGCACTTTGATTCACATCCCCGTCCATGAAGGAGGTGCCTTTAATGCCGTCCGCCTGCTCGGGAAGACAAGGGCCGGTGTGGGTGGCAAAGAGGAATTCCCTGACCTTCTTGAATAAAAAGCTCTTTATTGTGTGGATCGTTGGAAAAAAAAGAAAAAAAGTACACGAGTTTCAGCTCCTGATCACAGGTCACGCTTAACAACTGTCAAATAACACTTTTTGTGCTTGAGGGTGTTTTTAGCTACTCCTGGGCATTCTGAACATATCGGCTCGCATTGTTGGTTCGTCTGCAGGATTACAGAACGGGCTCACCAGAAGTGTGCAAAAGAGAATTCATATCTTCTGAAGTMGGGTTCTGTGGAAAGGTTATCTTGTGACGGTTGTAATGAAGTAGGAGACAATGGTTAGACTCAAACTTTATGACAGGGCCGCGTTGATACAGAACATGAAGTATCTTCTGTGTTTTTTTCTTTAACCATCTTTTTCCCTCCTGACAAATGGCGCCCTGCTAATAATTATTAACAGGACGTTAAACCCAAGAACACATCTCCCCTGTTCTCCAAATAACCAGCATCACTAGATTTAATTTTTCTAAAACTAAACCAACATTTAGTACTTCTGCATTTGAAAAGCGTGCATGAAATAGAGCAGTCTGCAGCCTTTACAATCCAAAGAGTCATTTCTGCCTCTGGGCTCACTAATAAAATGTGTCYTGAAACTTCAAGTTTGTTGAATCCAGGGGGGCTTTTCCAACCAGAGTGTGTACATAATTATGTAGTCTAGTCCTAAAGGTGTAGTCAACTAGAATGCTCTATCCTTGTATTGATCATATATACAAATTGACAGAAAAACTGCTAAAGCTGACGTTTTCTGTCATGGGTATTAAAAACCCGTCCATCCGTTTTCTTTCACTTATCCGGGGTCGGGTCACGGGGTCAGCAGTCTAAGCAGAGACCCACACTTCCCTCTCCCCAGCCACTTGGGCCAGCTCGTCTAGGGCAGTGGTTCCCAACTTTTTTTTGGCCTTGTAT